TCACGATGAACATCATGGGCAAACTTGAGGCCCAAAACAAGGCCACATTGGATGGGTTACTCTTTCTTGAAAAGGTTGGGTTCAAAAGGTTAGTTGTTCCATCTAGTGAATTTTTATCTAGTTTGTTTCTAGGTGAATGTCATGATGTGACTGGGCATTGCGGATAGCTAACTTAGTACAACGTTTGTGGTGGCCTGGTATGCTTGACAATGCGAAGAAGTATGTCCGAACTTGTCAAGTTTTTCAGCGGGACAAGCTGCGAACTCAAGCCCCGCTTGGGTTACTCAAGGCCCTTGCCCGTTCCTGAAGGTCCGAGAAAGAGTATTTCCATGGATTTCGTGGATATCCTCGTGACCAGCAAGAGTGGCAAGAGGCACATCTTCGTCCTAAATATGCTAGACTAATCGCCATGCATGAGACTGCAAGGACCGAACACGTTATCAACTTATTCATGGATAACTGGGTGCGTAATTTTGGACTGCCTAAGACTATCGTTAGTGACACAGATGTCCGTTTGACCAGTGAGATGTGGAAGAAGGCTGCAAAGCAGATGAGCAACCAACTCCAAACGACTTGGGGGAATCATCCTGAAGTAGAACAGATGAACTGTGTGGTGCAGCATCTGCTGAGTCACTATCTTACGCCCAACCAGGATGACTGGGGTGAGAAACTACCTCTCATCGCCAGTTTGTACAATAACGCTGTACACAACACCACCACGTCAGTCCTAACCAGCTGCATTTAGGGTGGAAGCCTAGATCTGCGGTAGACTTCCTCCTTCCTGAAAATTGACCCGCTGCAACGCCTGGAATCGCCTGGAACCATAGAGTTTGGTGTCCAGTATGAGAAGCTGTTGCACCAGGCTGTTGATTATATTAGAAAGTCTCAGAAGGCAATGATTGCCTCTGAGAACACTCGTCTGCGACCGTCCACATTTCAGGTAGGGGAACGAGTCTGGGTTAAGGCTAGTGAACTGGGAGAGGAATTCGGAATCTCGCGAAAACTAATGCCACAGTACTCGGTCCTTGGGAAGTCCTGGATATAGTGGGTAATGATTTGGATGGACCCTCGGATGTCGTTAGAATCCCTGGACATCTGCGCACTTACCCTGTGTTTCACGCTTCAAAGCTTGCACCTTTCACTGAGACAGATATGTTCCCATCAAGAAGGTCAATGCTGTCCCCAACCATGGATGGCCACGTGGATGTCGATGACATCCTTGAACACAGAAACTTGCCTGTTCCCAAACCTTTTGGCAGGGGTAGACCCCCCAAACCTATGAGGGAATATCGGGTCAGGTTCAGGCATCATACGGATCCCAATGAAGATTGTTGGTTCACAATAAAGGAGCTTGTTAAGACAACACCTCAGATCATGGCTGATTACGAACGAAGACTGAAGAGGAAGGCACCTGTGTAGAAGCATCTCAGCGGACTTTCGAAGCTAAAAGGGATGGAATGCGAGGACTGAGCCCTCACGGGGCCCCAACAGACATGCAATTGTTCTAGACTCTGGGCCCCAGCAATCATTGTGCCCGCCCTAAGTGTATGCCGGCCTGAGTATCCTCAAAACGCCTACTTTCGGCATTTTCCATATGTGGGTACTCAGACAGTTGCAGCACGCCAGTTGGTTACAGGGAAACGTGAGCCTCCATGCTCTTTCCAGCAACAAGGGCTGCGCTGTACAGTTGAGCCCAAGGCTGGGTGGTTGTGCCCTGGGGACACGTACGAATGAGAAAACAGCATTGTCGTCACACAACCTCCGCGAGCCAATGAGAATGCGGCCCACACTTGGAGCCTGGAAGGTTACCTGTACGTGCCCAACTGAAAAGGACCCAGGCCGGGCCCTTAACTGTAGAAGTGGGCGCAGACACTGGGGCCTGACTGGAAGCTACTGGAAACTTCCCCAGCCAGGCCCACACAGACACAGAAAAAAGATCTACACAATGGAATGGCTGCGCTTTCCATAAAGGAAAGAGGCCATCCCAGGCAAAGGCATTCTGGCCTTAGCAGGCAATGCGGACACGCTGCTGCGCTAGTGTCTGCGTGTGCATGCTGGTCGGACGCGTGCACAGGCGCTGAGGTGAGCGGCGCTGCACAGGCAGCGGGTGCACAACAGCCATAGCCGGGCTGCAAGGGGCGCAAGGCAGGGAAGGGCGAAGGTGTCTTCGGTAGGAGGCACATGAAGAGGGGATCCAAGGGGTGATGAGGGGAGGAGAGAGAAACATACGTGGTGTATGTTGGTGGTCAGCATTGGTGTTGACGTCACGTACATTGGTCTTCGACTTCAGAGTGATCCGGCTGCAAGAATGTAGATAGGCTACCTACGCTGAGTAGGATAGGCTGGGCGCTGGGCGCCAGACACTAAGTGCGACATTGGATACAGTGTTGGTGTGACCAGAGAGTGATGACATTGACACCTGAGTTCATTGTATTGGCTATTTGTTTTGACACCTGAGTTCATTGTATTGACACCTGAGTTCATTGACACCAGAGAGTGACGACATTGACACCTGAGATAGGCTACCCGCTGATGTTTTATGATTAATGTCGAAGGGCTATTTGTTTGCTCTCTCTCTCTCTCTCTCTCTCTGTGTGCGAGTTTTTAGGCCACAACCGCTGTCCTTTTTTTTTCCTTTTTTTTTTTTTTTTTCACGCATCGGTGATCAGTGCATTGTACACTTGCACCACAGGTATGATCNTTTTTTTTTTTTTTCACGCATCGGTGATCAGTGCATTGTACACTTGCACCACAGGTATGATCAACACCCTTTAAAAAACAGCCTCTCTCTCTCTCTCTCTCTCTCTCTCTCTCTCTCTCTCTCTCTCTGTGTGCGAGTTTTTAGGCCACAACCGCTGTCCTTTTTTTTTCCTTTTTTTTTTCACGCATCGGTGATCAGTGCATTGTACACTTGCACCACAGGTATGATCAACACCCTTTAAAAAACAGTCTCCCCCCTCCCCCCTTTCCCCCCAAAAAAAGGCAGAAAACAACATCAAGTGTGGTATGTGTTCCGATCAGTTTCATGTCGGTTCTGTGGTCCATCAGGACCCCTTTTTAAAAAGAAAAACCGCATGCAAGGGCACGTGCGCAAGAGAGGGAGAGGGAGACACACACACACACACACACACAGAGAGAGAGAGAGAGAGAGAGAGAGAGAGAGAGAGAGAGAGAGAGAGAGAGCACCAACAACAAGGCACAGGTGAGCCTCAAAACTACCCTAACCCTGCCCAAACCCACCCCCCAACCAACACCCCCCCCACCCATCCTCATTTTAACACTATGTCCTTCGTTTTATTGTGGGTGAAGCACATGATAGGCACAGTAAAAAGGGAGGTGCGAGAACAAATAGAAGGGGTACCCTAGAGAAAGCCAAATTGAAGATAGTCAAGAAAGGGATATAAGTGCGAGGAATGAGCCCTCGCAAGGCTATTAGACATGCACATGTACTGGGCAGAGGCCCTCAGCAAGCCCCGTGCCCTCTCTAAGTGAAGGTGGGCCTGAATATTCACTAGAGGCCAGAATTTGACATTTTCCCATATGTGGGTACTCAGGTTCCAGCACGCCAGCTGGTTGAATGGAATCGTGAGCCTCCCTAAGCTGTGTCGTACAGTTTGGCCCAGGCCCTGGTAGTTGCGCCTGGGCACATACACACAATGCAGGGCCAATACATCATGAAGAGGTTACGGCCCTACGCAAAAGCAGCATTGTCGATGTACATACCCCGGGTCCTGTGCAGATACAGCAAACTGCCGAAGTCTGCAAGTGTGGGGTGTGCCCAATTGTATGAGGCCCAGGCCTCAACTGCAAAGCTGGGCCTGGGCGCAGGCAACGGGGGACCGGAAGCTATCGGAAGCTTCTCGGCCAGGCCCTCACACAGCCGACCAGGGGCTGCCACTTCCATGTAGGAAGAGAGGCAGCCAGGGTCTAGCAGTCTGGCCCACGCAGGCAATGCGGTCACGCTGCTGCGTCGCTGCGCGAGATGCTGCATGCTGCGTTAGCGGCCAGGGCGCGTGTGGGTGCTTGTGAGGTGAGAGGGGCGCTGCTGGTTAGCGGAGCGCTAGCAGCCATAGCTGGGCTGCAGGGCGCTAGGAGGTAGGAGGGCGATCGGTGGTCTTCAGGAAGGAGGCGAGTGTGGGTGGTCAGGGTCTGATGAGGGGAGACGAGATACGTACCTGGTGCATGAGGGAGGTCGGTTATGGTGTTGACGTCAGGTACTTCAAAGTCGAAGTGAGCCCGTTGAGTGAATGCGCCTGTAGTAGGATAGGCAAGTAGTGTAGGCTGGGCGCTGGGCGCCAGACAGAGGAGGGACATTGGATACTGTGTTGGTGTGGCCTGAGGGCTTGAACATTGGCTCATGAATTCATTTGGATGGAATCTCGGTGCATTTGTGCTCTCTGCTTGTACACGACTACTTGGACATCTGTGTGATTTCGCAACTTGGCTTTCTGTATATCGTTCCCACTCATATTCCTTGCATAAGTGCATATAACGGAGCTATTCTGCTACATGTTGCTCGTCTCTTTAATCATCGTTGGCGATCTATGCAAGTGACGCTCACTTCAGCTGACATTCCCCAACCACAAGCTCGATGTGTCTGTTATTTTGTTCGGTGTGATTGATCTGTGTTCTGTCACTTGGGCATCTTTGGGCTAACAAAAAGCGGGGGCTACCGCCTTCCCCGAATAGATTGTATGATCGTTGTAGCTTCGTTTTGGGCAATTTTCATTTTAGATACAGCAATTATGACCGTGTAGGTTCTATTTGTGTGGGCACGGTAGTCTTTGGAAGTCAAAATATTCTTCTTTTCGTTTTGGAACGGCGGGAAGCATCGTGGAGGGTCGTGTTGTGTTTAAACTACAATCAAGTCGCAGGCGGCAAGGGAACTTGACTGTTGCTTTTTTGGAGACAAAAAAGAACGGAAACTTTTGTTACTGGTTTGCTTACAAACTAAAAGCCGTGCTATGTTCTGTAACGTTGCCCTGTGTTTTCTCCCTCAGGCCAATAAAAAGCTGGAGCTCGTGTTCCTGAATCACAGTTTTGATCTTCTGGAGAACTGGATGTTAGAAGGGAACCATTTGGGAGAGTGTGTACTCACCAACCGGAAGTTTCAGGAGGCAAGCTGCTGTTGCAAACCCATGCCCAAACTTCTCTTTTGTTTTTTTTTTGTTTTTCTGTTTTCTAACCCACCTTCAACCTACATTTCTGTTAAGGACTTCAGCAGTCTCAGAAAATGAAAATGTAAAAGAAGGCCTGCTTGTTTTTTACGAGGTCTTATGAACCTTTATCCTAGGCTACCAGAGTGGCCCGGGACCACTTGCCTGGCCGGGCACAAAACAAAAAAAAAAGGAAAAAAAAAATAATTTGAAATTTGGTAAAGAATTTCGATGTGACCCTGAGGCAAATGCAAGGAAAATGAGCGATAGGGAATTCCAGAAACCAAGCAGCATCATGCACATGAAACCAGATAGCCTTGACCTCGAACCAAAAGCAGAATTGCAACTCGAGTTCCACCAACTAAGAGCACAGCAAAGCTCACAAATGACAATGTTGGAATAGTCCTGTCATCATCATCAATGAATCAATGTCGATTCCCTATCTGGTGCTCAGCACCCAGACTACAAATGGCAGATCCTAAGCTTATTTACAATGCCGCTGGTGACGTCAACAGCTCCCCGAAGTACGAGCAGATCTCGGCCAATGCCGTTCGCATCAAGCACCAGGTGTGTCCGTCGCTTCACTCACAACCTCGATCCTCCACACAGGTGCCACATGCACCCGAAGACCACCATGCGCCCCATCCAGCAATCTGCAGGCCAGCTTGGCTATGGCTGCCTGCTTCTTCCCCACTCGCTCGTGAGCTCGTAGGCACTCGCCTCAGCAGCTGGCACAGGAGCGCTTGCGCATAAGCAGCGAGTGCCCGAATGTCCAGCCAGCAGCCAGGTCTTTTACTCTATGGAGTGAGGTTGCCAGTCGTGGGCTGCCTGGCTGGCCTGGGCCTCTCCCAGGAAGCTTTCGGTAGGCCCCAAGTGGCTGAGCCCCTGTCCCAGGGAATCTTCTACAAGGCCTGGGATGGTTACCCGTGTCCAACTACCCAGTCCGCCTGTATTCAGTCTTGCCCTGTGTCTGGTCCAGGGCCTGCCTCCGATTCATCTGTAAAAGGGCCTGAAGACCCAAAGATTGGCAGGCAGGGCCTGGGCGCATTCAACGAACTAACGCGGCGCAACTGCCTGAATTCCCCAGCTGCGTTGAAACACAAAATAGGCCTCTCGTCACTTGTCAGGCCTGCCTTCACTTAGGGCGGCCGTTCTTGCGGAAAACAGGGCCCAGTAGGGCTTACCGAGGCCTTTAGCCTCGCATTCCCTCCATACTTCGATAGTCCTCTTAGAAGTTCATTGAATCTGGCGCTTTCCTTTCTACAGCGACTTCTCATAGTGAGCGACAACCTGTGGAGGTCTGCATCAGTTCCTCCCTTGTAAACCCTCTGTCCTCTTTTAGATCAGTGTGATGCCTGAACTGAACATGATACTGCAGCTTCGGCTTCGGAGGACAACCCCTGCCTGTTCGTCTTGGAACTGGCATTTCCTTACGATCAACAATGTCGTCGATGTCGACCTCTCCATCCATGGTTGGGGGCAGCATAGATTGACGAGAGAGAAACTGATCAGTTTCCTTTGAAGGTGCAAGTTTGGAGGTGTGAAAGACAGGGTAGGTGCGAAGGTGACCAGGGATCTCTATCCCATAGGAAGGCCATCGGGATGATCTCCGACAATGTCTAGAACCTCCCATGGTCCGAAGTACTATGGCATGAGCTTTTGGGAAATCCCGTGCGCTTGCCTGAATTCGGATTCCTTGACCCAGACTCTATCCCCAACCTGGAACTCAGAAGGGCGGCGGTGTTTATTTTCTGACTCTATCATCGTTGCCTGTGCTTTGTGCATGCTGTCCACTGCTTGCTGCATAAGACTCTCATAGCGATATTCCAAAGTACCAGGCGCAGCAGTGGGCTGGTTCCCAGGTAGTAAGAAATCTAGAGGCAATCGGGGCTTGAAGGTTAGCAGCACACTGTTGGGGCTCACTCTTGTCGCGCTGTGCACAGCGTTGTTGTACAGGCTGGCAATGAGAGCAAGCTTCTCATCCCAGTCCACCTGATTAGGCTTGATATAGTGCCTCAGCAGGTGTTGTACAACACGGTTCAGCTGCTCTGCTTGTCTGTTTGCCTCTGGGTGGTTCCTGGAGGTCATCTGCAGCTGTGTCCCTTGTTCAGCAGCTGCAGCCTTCCACAACTCACTCGTGAATCGTACATCCCGGTCACTAACAATAGACTTTGGCAGACCAAAGTCTCTGACCCAGTTCTATTTAAACAGTTTAATCACATACTTGGTCTTCGTTGTTTCCGGCATCGCAACTAATCTAGCGTACTTACTGAACCTATCCACAATGACAAAGACATATCTCATACCACTCTTGCTGGTGACCAGCGTATCCATGAAATCCATGGACAGCCTTTCACCAGGCCTTTCCAAAATCGACAGGGGCTTGAGTAGCCCAAGAGTGGCCTGTGTACGTGGCTTGTCTCTCTGGCACACCTGACAAGTCTCCACGTACAGCTTGGCGTCCTTCATCATGGTGGGCCACTAGAACTGCTGCAACAAGTTAGCTGCAATCTTCGTGTAGCCAAAATGTCCGGTGAAATCATGACACTCACCTGAAAATAAACTACGCAAAGACTCTCTATTGGGCACACACAAATGTTTATTCCCGGCCTTTTCGAGGAACAGCAGGCCATCAACCAATACAAACTCGTCAGAAGTCACCTTATCCTTCACTTCGAGTCTGCGTTTGATCTCTGTCATGAACGGATCCTCGCGATAGGCTTCGTCCGCAAGCCCAAACTCAGTCATCAACGCCCCAAGGAAGTCTGGTCTACGCAACAACGCATCAGCAACCTTGTTGTATTCCCCTTTGATATAATAAGGCTCGAAGTCATATTGTTCTATGACTTCGATCCAGCGTTTCAAAGCATCAGAGAGTGCCGGTTGGGTCCTCATCCACCTTAGGGTCTGATGATAAGTCCTGACATAGAATAATCGCCCAAGGAGGTAGTGCCTCCAGTGAGTCAATCAGCCCTTTGTAGATCGCATAGAGTTCCTTCTCGTAGGTGGACTTAGCCAACTTCTGAGAGGGCATCTTTTTGGACATGTACTCAACCGGCCTCAACTTCTTCCCTTCCTGCTGCGCAAGCACGGCACCAATGCCATATTGGCTGGCATCCGTGGTCACAACGAACGGTTTGTTAGGATCAGGAAGTTTTAAGACCTCATGGTGTGCAAGAGAATGCTTCAGATGTCTAAAAGCAGCTTCACGCTTGTTTTTCCACTCCCACGGGGTGTCAAGGAGTGTGAGATCCGATAAGGGCGCGGTCACTATGCTATAGTTTTTCACAAAATTGTGGTAGTAGTCATCCCCAATAAGGATCTCACCTCGTCATCGGGCTTCAATCCCTCTGCGGAAATATCATAACCCAGATACAAGATTGGGGTGCGACCAAACTCACTCTTTTCCCGGTTGATCTTGAATTGGTGCTGCCGAAGGAGACTAAGAACTTTGTCAAGGTGGGCTACATGCTCCTCGACAGTTCTATTGAAAATAAGTATGTCATCGAGACACAAGATGACAAACTTATCTAAGTAGTCATGAAAAATCCGGTTCATCGCATGCGGAAAGGTGCCAGGAGCATTGCAAAGGCCGAAAGGCATCACTACAAACTCGTACAGACCGTACCTGGTCTGAAAAGGGGTTGTGTGTTGATCCTCGGGCCGGATTGCAATCTGATGGTATCCGGACTTCAGGTTTTATCTTACTGAAGTACCGACGCCCTTGCACTCGATCTAGCAAGTTATCGATGCGCGGTAGGGGCTCTGCGTTCTTTACGATGATGGCATTGAGGCCCCTATAACATCCGCAATGTTCCCCCCTTCTTTGGTACACAATAGGACAAGAGACCCATAAGGGGAGACACTCGGTCGGATCCAACCCTTCTCTATGAGATCCTTGAGCTGTTGTCGAAGCTCATCAAGCTCCACTGGAGACATCTGATAGATCCTACCCTTCGGAATACTAGACCGTGGGATAATCTCTATCGCATGGACAACCTCCCTCTCAACAACCCCTTTCGGCTCTTCAAATAGATCCGGGTATTTTTAGCCTTCATTTCTGGAGGCATTTTCACCGGCCCACCCTTTGCAGAGACATACACTAAGTACATACTAGATCTACGTCTGAGCATTCTCTCTTTCTCTGCCTGTATCTAATCCAATGCCTGCTGTAGCTGTGCCTTGAGAGCACTTGCTCACTGGAAGGCGACCTCTTCGGGAGTTAACACTGTCTGCTGGCTTGTCATTACACCAGCGGACTGACTCTGGGTCTGTGCGACTGTCGCCCCGACAGTCCTTGAACTACTGGCCTGGGAAGTCTGCTGCGCAGAGGTGGCCATGGTGGCTGCTGAGGTAGCTGCCTCCCTAGCAGAAAGATCTGCTTGCCTTTGCGTCCCTTGCCAACCTCTAATGCTGCTGCCTCTCCCTAGCCGGGCGGAACAGAAGACGGTCTCCCTCGGCTCCTAATGCTACGTGGACCAACGGGAGTCTTAAGGCTTGACGAATGCAAGATCCGATCGTCCAGCTCGGGGGTCTCCCTGTTGCTCATATGCCACAGCACTGTACAGTGTCTGCGCTAGGACGCACTCTGTTGCCTACCGCAGCTTAGTGCTCAGCCCGATTTAAAATAATAAAAATAAATATTCGGTGGCATTGTCAGATGGTACACAGTTAGGGTCAACAGGTAAGTCCAGATCCCTACAAACGAAACTATTTTACTTGACTAGTCCGCAAACAGAAAGCAAATAAGAAGAAACAGATAGTTCTACCTATGCTGTCTGTCAGATGTGTTAATGGCTGTAACATCTAACTAATCAAAATAAAAATAGAATCATTTGTACGACTGTTTGCAGAGTGGAATTGTTCCTGAACTTATCACCTGAAATCTACCCCTCCCTCAGTTCTTCTTGATGTCACTTTATGTCAACGTTCCTGAGCAATCCGGATGGTGCTGGTGTCTA